CAGGAAAGACACTTCCTGACAGTTCAGCAAGTTGACTTTTTGAGGTGGGCTAGTTCTTGCTAAACCTGCTGCTAGAAAAGTGAAGGACTGCATGAGCAGCCCCTCATTTCAGGGGGCACTCCCAGAGCTACTGGCTGTGCTGCAATACAAAACCCATGCCAAGCTGCATGGCCAGGATGGAGGAAAATGGCTGGTGAAAGATGCTACCAGGCACTAGAATGGAAATTCAACAACTGGGAACCTGATACAGTTCAAAGACATACTTGAGAGAACAAAACTGTACGGCCAAGAACAGCTTCCAGTGACAGTTTCAAGAGAATTTATCCTACATCCTGGCACTCACCAGAAAATCTAGTACCCACACAGCTTAATAACAGCACTTGAAAGAAATTTTTCTTTGTTAGAAGTTGTTCAAATTAATCCCTTTCTGGGAGAAGTATTATGACCAGTCAATAGAAGAGTAAACATAGTTCAAGCCACATTTGCTTTACTTTGGCCTAATATTTTTAATTTGGGTCAAATGAAACAATTTTAAGTAATATTCTCACACTTGGAGGCTGGGAAAAGGGACAGCAAAACCTGTCTTTGAGTTAAATAAAATGATACATTAGACTCACAGCTAAAAAATTACTGTGGATAATGCTAAGTTCATTCAAGTGACTTTAATTACAAGGTGACTGTTAAACCAATTTAAGCTGAAAAAAACCGACTTTCTAGAATTCCGTGTTTAAATAAAACTTTAAAAGAGCAATTTACAAAAGCAGACAGTGTAAAAAATTGCTTCTTTTCATCTTTGTAATCCGCAAAAAGCCTCGTTTTTGGAAGCTAAAGTGCACCACTTCCTTAGCAAAGGCTTAGTCAGCATCAAACCTATGAAAGTGATTAAAACATTTTCACTCTTAGGAGTGTAGGAAAAATAAAAAACCCCAACACTTTAATTAAACAGGCATAAAAGCAAACACATCACCAGTGAAATGGTTGTGTTTCAACACACCAAATTTGTCGTTTCAGAGGTATCTGGGAGGCTTCTACATGAAATTACAGCATGCTGCATCCATAAAGAATGAGCCCCTTTCTAAAGAGCTTGCTTCTTCCCAAGGTTACAAGGGGAAAGCAGGTAAAATGTTTCGCTTTGTTTTCATACTTGCAAATGCCCACACTGCAGCAGAATGTATTAACACACAGGAAGCTCTGTGCACTGCAGCTAGAACACTTCCCATACCTTCCAGGCATGAGAAAGGGAGGTAGAGCATTTTGACAAACTAGCCTAATTAACGATGACAAAAGGAGAACATCCACGTTAAAAGCTCCATCTCCAAGAACCAGGGAATGTCACAAGAGCAAAATGCTCAGAATGAGGCACTTACACCCTTCTACTGTTTGATAAAAAAGCAGGAATCAGCTGGGCAGGAGAGAGATGGGTAACAGTCCCTCTTTAACTCAGCTACTTTATTTCATCTTATGTAACACAAATCACATGGTAAACTTCACAGCATCAGTCAACGTTTTGTTTAAAGAGGCATGAAGATAGTTGTTTTCCTTCTGTTACTTTTATCGAGTCACATCCAACCTCCATAGGATTGTGTGAAAAGTCAGTAAAAGAAGCAACACAGATGACAGCTGAATGCTCTCTCACCAGCAAGAGAATCTACATATGGGATTTCTCATCTTGGAAAGAGAGTGTGGAAAAGATCAAATACTTCTTCTAGCCTTTCCCCACTCCACAACTGGTGTTTCATCATCAAATACGGTGTTTAGAAAGAGGGTAAAAGCAGCAATGATTACGTCCTGAACATCCGCCTCCAGTCACTTCCCAGTTAAACAAATCTATTTCTAGAACAATAGGAAATAGCACCATAAGGATCATGTGAGATTATGAGACACTATTTTTAGGATAGATTTTTACACTGGGGTTCATTTCACCTTTTAAATGAGACTTTCACCTCCACTTCCAGAAATGTCTTAGTTTTGCTTAAACAAGTGCTTTTACTCTGACATTTCTGTCACTAGAATGCCTCTATTATTATTACTATTATTATTATTAATGCTCAGGCAAGATGTGCATTTTCATTCTGGGCTTCAATGAATGAAAAAGAAATGTCTTATGCAATCAGTTAACTCTAGTAACTGCAGGAACTTCACAGTTGACACAAACATGATACCAAATACTTTCTGGCATGAAAATATACCAGGATAGTAATATACTGTCCATGGTCAGTGGGAAATAAGGAAAATGGAGGAAAAAAAATCTCAATTGTGCTGTACTGCTCACGTGTTCTTCCCACCCTTCCATGCAAAGCTATAGCTGTATCACCATGGGAAGCTGTACCACCTTACCCTCGCCAGGCAAACTTAGCATTTAATCATTCTTATAAAGATCAGAACAGCTTCTTCTAATGAACTCAGTAAAAATCACTGATTAATTCACCTGGATAACCACTCACTACAGTTCTCAAAACAGAAAAGTACTGTGCAAGATAAAAAACAGTCCTGTGATGATCCCTGGGTCAACAGTTGCTGCAATAAGAGCAAAATCTTAAAAAGTAAAAGGAAGTCAAAAAACTTTATTCACACCAGAAATGCAGACTTCAGTGGAATTTTCATTTATCAAAATAACCCCATTATGGTTACTTACATCTTTGCTGTAAGAGAACTGTACAATATATATATAAATACATATATAAAAAGAATCAACTTTTGTGCTTCCTTAATATTAATCATCATCTTCTTCCTCTTCATCGCTGATCACGTATTTCTTATGCTTCTTACTTGCTTTGTCATCGTCCTCTGCTTTTCTCTTCCCAGAAGGTTCACCTTCCTAAAGACAAAAATAAACCAAGATACTTCAAGCTAAAATAAAAAAACTCAGAAGAACAACAAAAAGACCTCAAACCCTTTCTTGTAAGGAAAGCAAAATGATTAGTTCCAGTTTTTTTCCATTTTGTGCTACTGTGACCCAGCACTTTTACAGTCTGGATGTCCAATTTTTAGCACCTCAACAGAGTCAACAGGTTGATTTTTATTGGTCTAAGTAACCTCATTCTTTTTTCCAGTTGTTGGTTTTGGTTTTTTTGTTTTGTTTTTTTTTTTAAGAAAAAGCAACACGTATTACATGGATTTTAAGAAAGAGCAAAGATTGAGTTTCAGAACTTTAATGAATTATTATACTTTGCAAACTCTTAGGAATAGGTTTTTATTCAAAGCATTTTATTCTGTATTAACACAGTAACTTTGTACACTAAGAGTGGCAGTTAGGAAGGAATTTTAAGCACGGAAAACACAAATTGGTAGAGGTGGGAATCTCAAGGACAGCTTCTTCCCCCATACAAACATTCCCTGGAATCTAGCTGGGCTATTGTTAAATGATTCATCTTCCTGTTTAGCAGAACATCCCCATTAGCTACAGTAACAGTAAAACCACCTGCCGCGTGGTGAGAACAGACTGATGTTTTCAGTAATGGTAACAATCTGTTATCAGGGAACAGATTCCTGCCGTGGTGTTGGCTGCCAGCACACAAAAGCAAGCCTGTGAGCAAGACAGCCTGTGTCCCACACACTGCAAACACCAAGCAAGCAGGTCTCCATCACTCGGGTTTTTCCCTAACACTGCAGCACCCCTCCGTGGCCCTGATGGGGATAGAAAGCTCTAGGTCCTCTCATTTTAAAATGGAGGCTCTCCTGCCTCTAGCAGCAGAGAAATGCTGTTGACTAGACCTTTTGTTCTGAGAAACTGGAATTGCAGAGTCCTGACACTGCTATATCATGAGCTAGCAACTAGTAGTGTCTTAAAATAAACAACTCAATTTCTGCTAATAAACATCAGAGCTCACAATACTACAATTTTGTCTGTGTGTCCCATTACGGCTGTTGTCTCCAGGATTACTGTCATATTTGCTGAAATGTTATTTTTTTCTCAATTTATAATAAAAAGCCAGAATCTGTCTTCATAAGAAAGACTAATTTTTACTTCTGCTTCATATTTCAATTCCTATTAGTGCAAATACTCAGCTGACAGTGTAAGAGGAGCAGTGTCACAGCTGCAAAAACATGCCATCAGAATGTAGTAAATACCCAGCAGGCTGGGGAATAAGACACACCTAAGAAGTTTACAGGAAGCACAGTACAGAAATGCAAATGAGACCAAACCTACTCCTTCAAAAATTAAGATTTCTTACATTATAGAAGGAGGTGTCATACTCAAAACTACGTGCTAGATCAGTCTTTTCAACAGAACTCTGGACTTGCAGCAGCTGTGATTACAGAAGTGTGACACGCATTCATTCCCTAGGACACACAACAAGCTGTGCTGAAGATTTCTCTTTTAAGAGGGAAAAGACTTTTTTGTTATGGAAGCCTCTAAAATACAAGAGTAAGGTTCTAGCCACTTCAGCAGCTACTGCAGTACCACGCTGGGTATTACTGTAGGAAGTCAACTGGAAGAAATCTTATGGCAACAGTTAAAACAATTTAAAGAGTTAAAATAATCTCTTAGAGGAAATGGTGATACAAAATGTTAAAAACATCCACAAGCTTACACTGACAGACTCAAACTTCCTTTTTTAAAGTTCTCCATAACGGTCTATACATAAATTTTAAAATATAATTTACAGTACAGGACAGGAAGACTAATCAAACTAGCATGCCAGTGTAAAAACACCTCTCATAACTTACAAAGTAGTTTATAAGGCCCTGTAAAGCCAAGCTAGTTTGTATTTATTATTCTGCCATGCAAGTGAAGGTGACCATCAGCAGAGCTCAGGTGTGCCCATACTGCCACTCCTGAGCCATGCCTGGCTTGGGAGAAGTGCAGGCACAGCTGCAACTCAGGGCTGCACCAGACTGAACACTGGCAAGACTACAGTAACACCACACTGGTGATGTCCAAAAGACAGCAAACTCATGGGCTACTAGAACCAAGTAGGCCAAACCCAACTCCCTTCTGAACAGGGCAGTAGGAAGCCAGGGAGTCAGCATCAAGTGCCATTTGTTGTGAATTCCAAAATTCCCTCTTCTTTCAGCTTCCTAAGGTACACAGTAGACATCCTGTGGCTCTTTGCCAGAGAGGTTTTAGAATGAGGAGCAAGGGTCAAGAAACAGACTACACAGGGATAGCTGATATAGGGGAGAGTCCATATACTTCCTGGTTCCACTTCTACCACTGGATGAAAATTGTTAAGTATTAATCTCAGAAATGGTCTCTGTCAGTTTTGGTAAGTGTGACACTGCAGTGCTGTATTCCAAGTGACATTACTGGAAATGAACTAAACTTCAAGACACGATACACACAGAGATTCATTTCTTCACACAGAGCAGTGATAAATCACAAACCAATAAAACATACTTTTAGAAAAGAAAACAGCAATGCTGCTGTAGCTGACAGTTAACCTGATCATGCCCTAATGTTTAGGATGATCCTTGAGTGATGGATAACATGTATTTAGCAACAGACCCTAACTCTTTTTAACTCTGTTTTTAACACTTCTATTTGAAGAGAGCAGAAATACTATGTGAAAATGCTTCTAGTACTTCCAAAATAAAGAGGAGGGGACCATGTAGCTTACAAGATAACACTGCGCTAGGATTCTAATATTACATCATCTTATTCCTTGCATGATTTTGGTAAAGGCATTTTACATAACTCTGCATAAATTTTTCCATCTTGAATTCAGGCACTATTCACTTGAATAGTGACCTCCTTTGGGAATCACTCAGGTCTATGAACTAATGCAGTGTACAGGAAATCAGCAAGCAGGCCAAGTCAAATCAAACATTCATCACAGCATAAATGAAACTACAAATGTCTCAGCTTTAAAAACTAGATTCAGTGCAGGCAATGTTCCTGACTGCAACAGAGCAGCTTAAGAAGAAAATTTTCTTACCTCATCACTAGTAAGTTTCTTTGCCTTGAGTAGTCTTTGTGTTTTATCTTCATCTGAGCCTTCATCACTGTCAGAAGAGTAGATCCTAGCACGTTCCTCTACAGAGAAAAATGAGAAGGCAAATATTTACCTTTACCTGAAATTGGCAAGGAAGACAGAACATTAAAAATAATTCTCTTACATTTAGTCCCACCAAAGCTGGCTCAATCTAACTTCAGAGTAAACAAACTTATACAAACTGAATTCAGGCCATCCCATGTATCAAATGAAATGCGCTGGCAAAACACAACCTTACCGGGACCCTCCCGTGAAATTGATCCATCTGAATCACAATGGAACCTACTTATGTGTTGTTAAGGTTGATTATTACCTCTGATGCCACCTTTGTATCTGTTTTTGATAGCTGCCAGGCTGATTGCATCATCTCCCTCATCCTCCTCATCATACCGATCAGGTTCCAAGTAATTGGCGCTCAGCCCGCGCTGATGCTGCTTCTCCCGCATCCTGCGCTGCTGGGATTCCCTGCGAATGGAAGCTCTCAGCCTCTCCTCTTCTTTCTAGCCAAAAAAAGAAGCAATACATAAAGACTGAAGAGGGGAAAAAAAGCCCAGACCAACTCAAGAGCACTTTGTATTCTCCTGTAGCTTTCAAAATAATTTCAGAGCAGTGTAAAGAGCTCACACCTTCTGTTTTCATTACCAGTCAGGTGAAGCAAACAGTTCCCATGGCTAACAAGTCTTGCCCACCACTCCAAAACACACTGTTTTTCGTGAAGTCATCAAATGTTCAGAAATGCTTAGCTATACTGCAGCTGTGAATTTTTAGATTAAAGCAGCAGGTAAGAGTTCCATGCCACGATACCTTAATCATCTCTGTGCGCTGGGACTCTGGGTCACGACCTGCCATTGGCAAAATACGGATTTTCTGGGTCTTTGAGCACCTGTCTGCCAGAGACAGAGTCATCTTCCTGTGAGTGGCACTGTCCGTAGAGTGTGGCCTGTGAAAAATTTGCTAGGGGTTAAATACTTCTTCAAGGAATGTATCAGGTTTTAAAGGACAACGGTAGGGCCAGTAAACTTGAGATTTCAAAGATTTGTTGGCAGTAACGGATCATCCTTTTCTTTATTTATTCATGTGCATTGTAACAGCTACTGGAGACATCAGCTCCTCTCAGCAAACCATCTGTAGTCCAGCACAAGCCTAAAATGACCATCCAGACACTTCACATCAATATCCCAAGATATAATCATCATCAAGAGCAATTGTGCATTGGGAGAAAGGTCAATTTCAGGGAATTTTAATATTCTTACTGATTCAGATGAGGCCTTGCACTTAAAATATATTACAAAATACATGTAGCCTACATACTGCTGTGAATGGCACATTAACCTCTCCAACCAGGACATCTAACTTAGGAAAAATCCTACTGAAATACTGACTTTGGAAAATAGCACATTGCTAAACTGTGAAGCTCTGAAGGATTACAAACTGGTATCTCTAATCTTTATATTAGTTATAATACTTAATTGCAAAAGTAGCATCAACATTTGATATAGAGCAGAATGTTTACCTGAAGGTTAACTTTGTCTTGAAAACAGCCTGTCCTTGTAGACCTGTCCCTTGTCTGATAAACAAATGGTTGTGATCTCCCTGTAGTGGTGCCTTGTACACATCAAAGACCTCATTGCCCAGGTGGAGAGACATGCTTAAAAGAGATTCAGATATCAGTTATTTGATAAAAGACACTACAGTCTATTTTTTGCCTCATTTATAAATGGAGAAAGTTTTCATGTTGACTTTTCATATATAGTCAATAATTATATTTCAATCCAAACTAAGCAGAGGATAAAATGTTCAAAGCATTGAGACTAAAATAATTTCTGTTGTGCAGAACTGACATCAGACTCTGTTGACCTTTCAGTTTTGCACACCATGATATTTCACTGTGTTCCTTCAATAGCAAAAAGTCCAAACTGACCTCCCATCTGACCATTTCACTATCCTGGCATTACTTTCTCTGATCTCATTCCCTTCCTCATCTCGTCGCATCCGCCATCGTATCGTGTTTTCTACCTGTGGGGAAAAAAATAACAAAACACTTTTTCTAACTCACACTAAGGAACACTGTGATAAAATACAATTTAAGGTAGGTCGAGAATTACAGCTAGAAAGGCTAGATAATTTGCTGCATGGTGCAAAGGTGAAAGGTATCACTTTCATAGGTGAAATGCAGCTGACAACCTTTTTAAAAAAAATTTATTACTAAAACAGATCAACTTTCCTCAGTGCTGAACTGGTCCAGGCTTTCATCATCTGAGCCATAACTCAAAACACCATTCTAAGCTACCTGAAACAGACTTTGTAGATATGTGGCTAGAGGAGTATAAAAGAGAAAAGGAAAATGAACATTATACCTTGAGTTTTAACCTAGTTCTACCCTCTTCATCAAGCATCTCCTCATCTTCAAATTCATCTTCATAATACTGGGGATCAAAGGGTCTGCAATAAATTATAACACAGTCTTTATTCCTCTAAAAATCAATCCAGATTATCCTAGAGTTGTACAAAATAACAGGTGCTTGAAAGGCTTAAATTATACACTGTAGAGAGCAGCAGGAGCTGCAGCTGTGAGGCAGCCATTTCTGCAGTAATGTGATTTACTGCATTGATTCTGCTCCACAGGAGGCCTTCACCCAAGTGTCTTCACTACCATCAATTACAGCCACTTCCACATTCAGACCCTCTAAATGGCTCCAGCCTGCCTCCAGAAAGTCAGGCTGCCTCAGAAAACACCGTTTCCTTAGTCAGGGTTAAATCTGCAATAACATATTGTACAGAGAAAATAAAAGGAAAATGTATCATCTTCTAAATGTGGTGAATTAGGGATTTTCTAACAGCACAATCTTTGTATTTTATTTTTTTTTTCATTTGAATCTCAGGACCAGTCAAAGAGAAAGGAAGATGACACTGTTTTTCCTTTCTTTGTTCAAAAAACCTGATGACTGGGCTAGGAGTGAGTGAGGGGAAAGCCATCCTCTGGCCTCCTTCCTAATAGTTTCCAGGCCGCTGCATGGGAAAGCGGTGATAAACAGACTCGGCTACTGAACAATTCTATTTTAGTCCTGTCTGACCCCTAGAGATCCCCAGGACTTCTCTCCCCAGTTACAGCCACTAACTGGATCCCTAACAGCTCTCTCCTGAAACAGTCAGTAGCATGAGAAGAATGATTTCTCTCCAAGGTGTAACAGAAACAATGCCACTCAGCCAGCTAAGGAGACACTTAAGTCAACAATGCAATAAAGGTGCTTAACAAAGCACTCAAAGAGAGGGATTTAACAGCAATTTACCAGAAGTGCTGAACGTGCCTTTAGGGCAAAGCTTAACAACACAAACAACTCTCCTAATTTATTTTGTTTCTCCTTAGGAATTACAGAAACGTTTTTTAACTTGGGTTAGGTGAAAAGGAATAACCAGCCTCTTCACAGTAAAACAGTACATTTACCACACACACAACAGAACTCATTCTAAAATTCAAAATTATGTTTTCATCACTTAAAAGTGCATCAAGATTCTATCAATTTGGCTTTCATATCTGAAAGCTAGAAGTTATGTTTAAAATTCAACTGACAGCATGTGCTTTTGATGCAGTAATTTTTGTTTTGTTCTAAAGACAAAAAGTTATTCAGTCAAGCTGAAACCCAAGCTCATCAGAAAATCACCCAGCAGTTGATTAGGTAACAGCAATAGATATTAGTATTAACTGCTCAGAAACAAAATGTGCTTCTTCATGTCAATCGTTTAAAATATGGCAAACATATTGCTAGAAGAAAAGCTACACAGGGAAACACTAAAAAAACATATCAATCATGTATTTAATGTGCAATTACCTGGGCTCCACGCTTAGGAAATTGGGCAGCTTCACAAAATACAAATCATTGCCCAAGTCTGTGTTTACTTTTGGTATTTCTACCTCTATTCTAGTCTCTGGAATAGGCTCTTCTTCCTGCTGTTCCTGACTCAGTCCATTCTCATCCTAATGAAAAAAAGAAGAGGAGCTAAGTGAAAAGACCCTGTCTGGTTACTGTTGCTCTAATAAGCACTTACATTCTGCTTAAAGAAAGCGATCAAGTGATCTTTTTCCAGATTTAAAAATATTTTTGTGTATTACCATCAAGATCTAAAATTAAAATATTTGTCAAATAGCTGTACTAAGGTACCAAACACAGCTATGACTTTGTATTTTACTTGATGACAATCAAAACTACTCAATACATTTCCTTCAAGTAGAAAAAGGGGAGCAGGGATAGGCAAAGGCAGATAAATGAATCCATCTGATATTGCTAAGTATAAAACTTTGATAATTCCTTTATCTAGGGCACAATTACCCGTAATGCTTACTTAATGCCATGACTCTTTTTTTCTACTAAAATATTATCAAACTAAATCAGTGTTCTATATTTCAGACTGGAATGGCATGTTAACTATTTCAAAAGTCCAGTCCACTCACAATGGGCTGTCCTGGAGTTGGTGGTTTGTCTTCTCCATCACTTCCTGAGGAAATGTCGTCTGCACCTCCAAACAGATCCATGACATCTGCATGCTCTTAAGTAGAAAAAACCACTATTTTAAAACATATACATATGCACACACACCCCTATACACAAGCATGCTCACAAAAAAAAAGGAAAAAAAGACTCCTTCACTTTTATTATCTCTTAGAATCACCTGCAAAGGTAAACAATCACAAATATTTATGAAGCACACACTATTCTCTTACACTGAAATTTTCAATGTATTTTCAAACTAAGGATTCAAGGTATGTTTTCCTGAAAAGGCTCTATCAAATTAGAGAACCTAGTTGAAGAATGGCAAGAGAAGAATCAAGAATGGCATGAGAAGAGTACAAGATCATCCTTTACTCAAGTAAACAACTTAAATACATGGAAACAGCAACATCATTAGGGACTTTGGAGGTTTTACTTCTCAGAAGAATCAACACCTGTTTCTCAGCCAGCTAAACATCACAAAAACCAGTGCAGCCTCTCTGGGATGCTTTCATCAGAGGCATCAGTTCTTAACATCTACCAGTAAAAATGTGTGAAACAACATTGCTAAAAGAAAACACCTGAGTCTCCTGGGGGAAACTGCAAAAGAGCTAGAGCCAACTAGAGATACCCTGCACAGACACAGCGTGTGCTCCCCCACACAGAACTCTCACTGTGCTGTTTTGTTGTTTCCATGGCATTAGCTACACCATCCAGCAAGTGTTATCAGTCATATCGAGTTCTGCAGCAGATGGATGACACACTTCAGATGAGGGTTAAATGAAGCCAACCCCTAGAGCAATGTCCCCAGTTACCTTTCTGTCCTTCTGCCTCACTGTCCCCTTCTGAATCAGACGCGATCGGCTTCTTGCGCTTCATTCGTAGAACTTCATCTTCACTATCACTGCCCCTTGCAGACTCTACCAAGGAACACAATTATTCTCAGCAAATTAAAAACTTTGTTCCACATGATACAATTGCTTTGTATTAATAAGTGGATTCAGATTAAAAGGAATTTAAAAGTGCTGCCTAAAAAAGCACGACAAAGCTGACTACGGTTGAAAGCCACGTAGTTAATGCCTTTACACTCAAGTCTGAATCTTGAGGCCAAATAAATGAAACAACAGAGAGAGATCAAACCAGAAGCAAATAATGACAACTGCATTCAGTCCTACCAGATTTACGCTCTTGGTCCTCCTCATCAGAGTGCTGGGCCCGTTCCTCATCATCAGAGTTCTGCATCTTCTCCTCATCAGAATGCTGAGCCCTTTCATCATCATCCGAGTTCTGCATCTTCTCCTCGTCCGAGGCCTGTGGCCTCTCCTCATCATCAGAGTTCTGCATCTTCTCCTCGTCTGAGTTCTGGAGTCTCTCCTCGTCGTCAGACACCTGTGGCCTTTCATCTTCATCAGAGTTCTGAGCTTTCTCCTCATCGTCAGAGTTCTGCTGCCTCTCCTCATCGTCTGACTGGTCGCTTTTGTCCTCCTTGCCCCACTTCTCATCCTCTGAATGTCCTTTTTCAGAACCCTCTCCCTCTGAATGATGACTGCCCTCATCTGACCCATGCCCACGATCATCCTCCTCCTCATCATGAGCAGCTTCTGAAACACTGTGCTGGTCCACGTCTGACTGGTCGTTGTCTTCATGCTCAGAATGTCCTGAAGCTTCAGAGCGATTGTAGGATCTTTCAGAGTGGTTGTCACTCCCTGTGTGATGGGATGCCCCCTCATCCTCACTGTCATCTCCAAACAACTCCTTATTGCTGGGTTTTACTGCCTCTCTGTCATCCTCCTGGTCACTGTCACTCCCAGAGGCGTTGCTGCCAGACCCAGCGTTCTCCTGGTCCGAATCCGATTCAGATCCGGAATCAGAATCTGCAAAACAAACACCATCCTTTCAGGAGTGAAAACATCCCTACAAGGATGCACAGAAGATGATGGGCACTGCTGGAAAAAAAACTCCAAAAAAGCCCCCCAAACCCAGAGGGAGAACCTCGAAGAACTGTAAGAAAGAACCATAAAAGTTACCTAGAACAGCAAAACAAAATGTCTTCTAAACAGGGCACAGCCAAGGAAAGACACCATGAAGAACGAGGGGTGTCAGACAAAGTTTCTAACCACAAGCTATTATCCAGGATTCTGAAGTTGTAGAATGAATAAGCAATTACACGAAACAGAATTCTTAATAGTCAGGGCTTAAAATAAGTAAACCCAGACGCACGTGGTATGAGCGGCTGTGAACCCGGACCTGCCCTCACGTCTGCAGCCCGGGCTGGGTGTGTCTGACACCCCTGCCGCCCGGAGCTGCTCTCGGGAGCCGCTTCCCCGGGTTTCTCCGGGTGCTGAGGGCAGCTACAACTTTCCCAGGGATGCAGGGCTGAAGAGGAAACACGTCTGGTTTTCACCCCTCAAACCCAACCAGCTCCCGGCGAGCACACGGTTCAGCGGGATGGGATTCGCGTTTGTTCCCCGCAGCTGCGGCGCAGGAACAGGGGCAGCAGGAGCGGCCCCTCCCCGGAGCCCCCGGCCGGGCGGGCACCTCCCCCCGCGGGCACCTCCCCCGGGCCGGGCAGGGAGGGCCGGGCAGGAAACCCGCACGGAACCCGCACCGAACCCGCACCTTTCTGCTCGGCCTCCGAGTCGGCGT